AAAAAAAAAAAAAAAGAAAGAGAAACAATGCTGCTAGTGGAAATTTGCTCCTGTCGTGTGGCTGCTTACATGGCAGCACGTCATCCCGTACGTAGAATTTCGTTAACTCTATTAACGGAGTTATTTGGGATAGACGAAAATGAAACAGTTTTGAAAGTTAATAGATGACTCTGAAAGAAAGTAAAGTATCTAGACTAAAATGAAAAAAAGATAATAGTTAATAGATGATTTATTACATTAAGCCGAATAATAATTATTATAGGCAAAAGATGCAAATCACCCCCTTAACTCATCCACTGGTAACAAATCACCCCCTCAACCCACTTTATCAGCAAATCACCCCCTCAACTCACTTACAGTGACAAATCACCCCCTTAAGTAACGCCAGCACCATCTTTCCGTTAGCTTTTAACAGTTCGTTCACCCACCCCTCTTTTGCGTTTGATGTGGCAGTTTTGTGCTAAGATGGACTAATTGTTGATTATAAATATAAAAAAACCATCAACACAAACTCAGGTTTCCCCAGTGGTTGATTATAAATATAACCCTCATTGATGATCATGTAGATAACAAGCATTCCCTAGTTGTTGATGATAATGTAGAGTTGAAGAATCGTGTGGTCGGTCTCACCGAAAGCATTTGCTGGTGCACTTGGATACGTGGCGGATTTTGAGGCTGGACTGAATTTAAGTAACAAATCAATTGACGACTTTGTCAACGTAGCGACCAACACGATCATGACCATGCTCAAAATTAGATCCAATTGCTTGATAGTTGCCAAGAGCGCCATGATCTCGGCTCCAACAATCGTGGTGGAGAGGTTGAACACTGCTCTCGAAAATGACGCCCTATCAAAGCCGGACTCTTGCGCCTCGAAGAATTGACCTTGCTTCTCGGGGAGGAGAAGGGATTTGGGGATTTGGGGATGAAAAGGGGAAGAAGACAATAGAAGCTAGCAAACAAAGTAAAACCCTAGATCCTCAAATCCCCAATTTTATTTCCCTAAACAATTTAAGGGATAAGAGTAATTTGATTGATGTGATGATTTTGGGTATTTAACCGTGGTACCTCTAACTTAGCATCCATCTAAAAAAAAAGGCCATGTCAGACGTAATGCAGGACTTATGAGGACCGTTAAAAGCTAATAGAAGGATGGTGCCGCCGTTAATAGAGGGGGTGATTTGCTATTGCAAGTGAGCTGAGGGGGTGATATATGCATAAAGTGGGTTGAGGGGGTGATTTGCCACCAATGGGTGAGTTAAGTGAGTGATCTGCATGTTTTGCCATTATTATATGTATAAAAACACGGGTACTTGTATTCAAGGACGATGATCTGTTAATGACATTGACATATCGTGAGGTTCGTATCTTTGAGTTTTTGGTTTTTTAACAGAAGTTTTGAATCCTTGATTGATTTTGTCCTTCATTAATTATTATTAAAAAAAGAAATTAATAGTCTTGTTTTGTATAAAACACACATCTTACAATCATTAATTATAAACAAAATTTTTAATATTAAAGTGTTTTTCTCCCTATCAACCCAGATAAAATTAATAACTTACATGTGATAAACTATACAGTAATTATTTTAATTATTATTTTATATGCACTAAAAAACAAATATCTCAATTATTATTGTCATTGAGTAAAGTACATATGTACCGTATTTTTAATTATCAGTAGCTATAATTCAACAACTAAAACCAAATTCCGTGTTAGGTTTAAGATGCACGTCGTTAGGGCAAGAGTCGTGTGAATTAAGTATGTCCTATAAAAATACATCTTTTTAATGATCTATGTGACCCAGATAGCGAAAAAAAAAAAAAAAAACCTTAATTGGAGTTAAGAAATTAATTATGTTTTGGTTTGAATTTCTAGCTATCTTGTTCCGGGCCACTAGCTTGCCCCGTGCGTTTTGGCCCCGTTTCCTGAGAATGATCTCCTTGTAGATAAGAATTCTAGATCACACTTACCTCAAAAAATAGACATTACTACGCAAGGTAGGTCGGCATCTGTTGTTTTTTTCTGGCACTTGGGATCGCCTTGTTTGCTGGCTCTCCTTAAGTTGATAAACAAAGGGTCACATCTACTATTATTTTTAATGAAAATGATATATAGACCATGTAAAATTATATATTTTATTACATACTGATGATTTTTGTTATTATATTGTTAAAATTGATGGTTTATGTTATTTATGTCATTAAAACTAAGTTTTCATTATTTTTGTCGTTAAAATTAATGGTTTCTATTAATTTTAATAGTACACTAATGAAAACCATCAGTGGATAACGGGATGTATAACTTTTGTATACATCAATATCCTATTTTTATATATGCAAAAATATTTGAAACACAAATATATTTTTGTAGCTAAATCTTCATCAATTAAATTATATATCAACTTACAGCCACATTAAATATATTGAAAGACTAAAACATGAACTTAAAGAACCAATAAAAGTTTGAAAGAGTCAATATCTACGTGTGCTGATATTTAGCATGAGTCGAGGTACCATAGAAAGCTCTAGATTCAAACTTCAATTTGTTAGATCAACCAAGCCAAGCCCTGAGCGATGGCAAAAAAAAAAAAGCTTGAGGGATCAAGTTTTAGTGAAAGTCATTACTTTTTTTTATCAAAAAATAAAATGTTAGTAAAAAGGTAAAAAAAAAAAATCTCAAATTCATTTTACATTAATATAAAATCTCAAAATAAATATTCCTGTTTTGAGGGCTACATTCGAACGTTGCAAAACACTATTATTATTACAATTCCTTCCAAAGCACTATAAAAAAATGGTACATGAACCACATGTTTTCGTAAGTTTTAAACAAAAGTCGTTGACATATTCTCACCTAATTGTCCCGATAGGACAGATTATTTATTTGCATAAATGCAAAGCCTGGAAGCAAATGATGATGCCAAGAGAACACTCTCTCTCAATTATTATTACAGCACATACTCTGCACGTCCACTTTCCATTTTTGGAGTTTGTAATAGCAGCATGAAGAAAGAGAACAGTTTTCTTATAACTATCATTAAAGAGC